TGCGCTGGTGTACTAGGTCCATTTGAGTACCTGGAAAATGCTTTGCATGCATATCTGATTAAGAAAATAGGCACTGGACAGCATCTGGACATGGAACAGTTAAAAATGCTTCTAAACGCAAACGCTTATAAATGCGGTTAACCGCGTTTACACGTGTTTACAAGGGTTTGGCGTTTGAAAAGCCCGTAAAATCTACTCCTGAACACAAGTTTGCTGCATTAAAAAAAAACGACTGTAAACTCAACTGCCTGTAAATGTCTGAGAACGACATAGTGTACATGGACACATAGGAAAACATTAGGGAGAGTTCAGGGGCTGCTGAAAAAAAAACGCAAAAAAGCTCCTGAACGTCAGTTTATCAGCTGCAGTGTACATGAGCCCTTATATACATACACACTCAGTGGACATCGAAAAATATAAGTTACTTAAACTAATCAAGAATTAAAATAATTCCACAATACATTCAAATATTGAGCTGTATGTTAAATAAACATACAACATAATACAAACATGTTTATAAAGGGTAATGAAATTCAGTCACATAAAAATGTTACATAATATAATGCACATACTGCAAATTTATTTATTTCAGGTATTTATACAGCGCCAACAATTTATACAACACGATACATATTTTACATTCACATCAATCCCTGTCTTAAAGGATCTAAACAAAAAAACACGGATCTGCTTTGGAGTTAATATAGAGAAAATATATGCCCCATGTGAATCATATAACCAAATAGGAAAAACCTGTAGAAAAGAATGTATACTAAACATTTAAAAATGTGTGTAGGGGAGGGGGTTGTTAGATATGTTTTGTACTCAACCTACAGTTGGGAGTAAACATTACAGCTGACTACAACCATCTGTACATTCAGGTACATACGTTGAAATAGAATGATATTGGTTCTTAACGTTTTTTTTTTTTTGTTTATTATGGTTAGAAAAAAAATAAAACATTTGCATTTGAAATTAAAAAGAAATTAAAATGTACACATTCAACTGATTAAAAGCAAAATAGCGGTCCCTAAATGAACTACTAGAACATGCAGTATACAGTACATTCCATTGCCATTTTCTTAAAGGATATCTAAACCCAAAAACAAAAATATAACATATTGCAGCTTACCAGTCCTTAGATATGGCTGCTACATTAGTTTTCTCTTTTCAGTTTTTTTTTCCTCTGTCACAAAGATATAAACAATAGAAATGAGTCCACTTATGGTATTATAATCTGAATTCCTCAGTCCACAATGGGATTTCTGACACTGTAGATATAATCCGGTTTTCTACAGTGTCAGAAATCTCATTGTGGACTGAGGAATTCAGATTATGATACCATAAGTGGACTCATTTCTATTGTTTATATCTTTGTGACAGAGGTTTATTTGGTTCAATATTTCATGTAGCGCTGCACTCCTTGTCTTATGATTCTATCAGAAAGGTTTTGTGGTTCCTTTTAGTGCATTGGTCGCTTTTCAGATTGCGCTCACTAACGTACATATACTAGTTTTTTTTTCCTTGATTATATTCTAGTGATTCCACCACTAGCACACTTCAGTCAGCTACTAATAAATAGGATGAAGTGCTGTGGCACGAAAGGCCTCAGGAGGAGCCAGTAGCAAGTGTGACTTCCTAACCACTGGGACCACGAGGAGGTCCGGTGGTCTTTGATCTTTGCCGGGTTAGTACATGTTTTATTTCATATTTACCAGTCTGCTTGACGGCTAACGGTATTTGTGGGTACATGCAACCCTGGCCTAATTACTGTTGATCCAATAAAGTTCTTGAACCTACTACACTATTGGCATTCCCTCTTTCTTGACCCTCTTTCTGGAGGGTTTCAGATCTGCATCTACCATTTCTGGGGTACCTGGAACCAGGAGGGGGACCCCTGCCTGCCTATCTTTTGGAACGAAAGGGCTCTATATACCTGGAGGTACTGCACCCAAGGCCGATGTCAGTATTTGAGAGGGATGGTCCATGTGTCCTTAGGATCTGCATGTCTGGCTGGTCATCCGCATAAGAGTGCACAAAGGCGCATTTAAAATGTGCGGTCGGTGAGTGCGCATTTTTTCTATCTGACACCAGTCACCTTTATAAGGAGGAAGACCTTCATACACCTATGGTCACTTAATTGTGGAAGGACTTTATGAACTATTTTATTTGTATTCATTTTAGCATGTTCTTTTTTAATTAATACACCAGCGCTGCACTATATATTATTATTCTTGCTTAAAGGTCCAGTGATTCCTTAGAGTGTTCCAGCAGCTGAACTATGAGCGCTCGCTTTATCCTTATGCCACAATAGAAATGAGTCCACTTATGGTATTATAATCTGAATTCCTCAGTCCACAATGGGATTTCTGACACTGTAGATATAATCCGGTTTTCTACAGTGTCAGAAATCTCATTGTGGACTGAAGAATTCAGATTATGATACCATAAGTGGACTCATTTCTATTGTTTATATCTTTGTGACAGAGGTTTATTTGGTTCAATATTTCATGTAGCGCTGCACTCCTTGTCTTATGATTCTATCAGAAAGGTTTTGTGGTTCCTTTTAGTGCATTGGTCGCTTTTCAGATTGCGCTCACTAACGTACATATACTAGTTTTTTTTCCTTGATTATATTCTAGTGATTCCACCACTAGCACACTTCAGTCAGCTACTAATAAATAGGGATGAGCTTTGGGTTTGATCTGAGCCTAGCCTGTTCTCAGTTTGTTGAATGAGCAAACAAATTGTCTATGATTGACCAGTTCACCTGCCCCCACCATTGGCTGATGTATTTGGAAGTCTGTCATTTAGCAGACATATCCACAGTGTATGGCGATCTCCTCCAGATTTAGTTTGAAATTGTAAACAAGCTAGCAAGAATACTGGGTGTTGTCTTTGATCAAATATGGTCATGATCAGATGATTATGACCATATTTAATAAGTGACATAATGCAGGTTCTTTGTCACTGTGTTTAAAGTGTTACTAAACCCGGACCCTGCATTCACTATATCAGCCTCCCACAGTACACACAACATGGAAATGCAATTATTTTATTAAATATAAACTGTTAAATATCTTTTCTCATCAGCAGTATATAGCAGTCTTGTGACTTTTATTAGTGTCCGGATGAGCACTGGTTAAAGCTTGTAGGAGGAGTTTTCATTCTACTATGACTGTCCTATGAGGCTGCATAACCCCTGACCCTCTGTCTGGACAGTGCTGATTGGCCCTGTGCTGATCACATGCACTCTCGCAAATAAAAAAAAATGTTCTAGCCATACACACTTTGTATATCACACCTCGACTACTGTAACTCCCTCCTCATTGGCCTACCTCATCGTAGGCTATCCCTACTTCAGTCTATCATGAATGCTGCTGCCAGACTCATCCACCTTACTAACCGTTCTGTATCTGCCATCCCTCTCTGCCAATCCCTCCACTGGCTTCCAATTGCCCAACGGATAAAATTAAAAACACTAACACTGACGTATAAAGCCGTTCATAACACTGCCCCAAATTACATCACAGATCTTGTCTCCAAATATCACCCAAACTGTACTCTCCGCTCCTCACAAGACCTCCTACTCTCTATCTCCCTTGTCTCCTCCTCTCATGCTCGTCTCCAGGACTTCTTCAGGGCTTCCCCCATCCTCTGGAACTCCCTACCCCAATCTATCAGACTATCACCTACTCTGCTCACTTTCCAGTGCACTCTAAAAACCTCTCTCTTCAGGGAAGCCTACCCCGCCTTCAGCTAACACTGGAATCCGCTACTCTTCCAACCACTCCATCCCCCACAGTGATTACCTTTTGTACCACTATCTCTTTCCTCCTAGATTGTAAGCTCCAAGGAGCAGGGCCCTCGAATCCCTCTTGTATTGAATTGTATTGTGACTGTACTGTCTCCCACTATAATGTAAAGCGCTGAGCAAACTGTCGGCCCTATATAATTCCTGTATAATAATAAATCCTGTATAATACACACTAAGCTGAGAATGTGCAGAGTGACTCCTAAAGCTCTGTACTAACAGCAGATGGATTGGGGACAGTAGAAGAAGGGGAAGATCAGAGAAGTCAGGATCAAACAACCTTTTTACTCAATGTAGAGGATTAACCCCTTAGGTTCCACAGTGAGTATAACAAGCATGCTTTACTGCATATACAGACTGATTTTACTGTTGTGGGTTTAGTAACACTTTCAATTCCATTAGTGCTGAAAACTGTAATTTACATGGGGGGGATTTGGTTGGATATCTGGGGACTGTTTATTCTTCCGGTTTCTGATAATTTCCCCCCAAAAACACTCACATTCCTTTAGAGCAGGGGTGTCCAAACTATGGCCCTCCAGCTGTTGAAGTACTACAAGTTTCATCATGCCTCTGCCACTGGGTGTCTTGCTTGTGGATGTCAGAGTCTTGCAAGGCCTCATGGGATTTGCAGTTCCTCAACACCCGGAGGACCATAGTTTGGACACCCCTGCTTTAGAGGGACATGATGTGGTAATGAGACCCTTGTCCCCATCAGCATGGTCCTCTTCCTGGCCACCCAGACTGCATGTCTGAATAAGAGTCTTTTATTCATTTTTAGGAAACCCCATACCTTTTTTTCTCTGAAAGGGCTAGCAGACAACTGAAACAAATTTAAAAAAGGTGTGGGGGGTCACTCTAAAAATTCATACCAGACCCTTAGAGCTGGGGATTCCAGGTACCATGATTGACCAGATAAGGTCAAAATGTCACTTTTAAAGGAGTACATCGAACTGCACCTGCAACTTCCAACACATTGTTAACACATCCCCAGTCCGTGTTATTTCAAGGATTGTGTTTTTATATGGTTGCCCCTTGAGTCATATTTAACCTCCCTAGCGGTATTCCCGAGTGTAGCTCGGGGTAAAGTTTCAGTACCAAAAGCGGTAACCCCGAGCTACACTCGGGCTTACCATGCAGCGTTGCTCAGGGAGTCCCTGCAGCACTTGTCTTGTCCTTCGCTCCCGCGATGCGTCCCCTGCAGTGTCCCCGGCCATCTCCTCCGGCCGATGCCGGCATCCGGCTTCCGTGTTCCGGTCCCTGTGACTTCGGGACGTACGGCGGCAAATTTGAAATTTTTTAAAAAATGGCATTTTTTAAAAAATTATTATTACATAGTAAAACATTGCTGTTTCAGAACATTGCACATACATTTTGTCCCTACTGCTTTGTCCTGTGCCCTGCCTGCATTTTGACTGTTCTTTCTGCCTGGAAACTTAGAAAAGTCCATGGCGTCCAAAAAGCGTCCCTTTAGGTCAAAATCGGTTTTAGACCGGTTAGAGAACAGTGATAGTAAATCAGAACCACTTGCTGAATTGAGTGATAATGATTCGTGGGGAAATTCGTCATCAGACACTGAAAACAATTCTGCGACTTTGCTCAGCGATGTGCGAACTTGGAGCTATGTTTCAAATTTCAGTGCTTTTGGTTTGATTATATTATTTAATTAAATGTATTATTATTATTATATTATTATTTTTTATGATTATTTATTAAATTATAATTTATGATTTCGTGTTTCAAGTTGTATCATATCCGGAATGTTTACTAGACTCTTGTTCGGACAGATTTCAGTGAGTTATTCCTAAATTACAGGCCTACAATAAAAAAAAATACATATTTCCATGCAAAAAAATGGTACCACTTTCAGCACCAAAAATCTGAAATAATCATACCGTTAGGGAGGTTAAAGACCCTCTCCCCACTGAATGGTGTTTTAAGGAAAACATTTTTACATTGGTGCATGGCAGTGTCCAGCTACACATGCCTTTGTTTAAAAGCTTGCAAATTGGCCCTGAAAAAGGCCAGAAAAAGCAAAAGATTTGTCTCTCATGGACTTCAGTGGGATTCAGTGCTATGTTTGGGTTTTTAACAGATTTTTTTTTACTGGGTTCACCAAAAACCTCCTGTGAACTGAACCTTGCCCAGATCACTCATAACTACTTGTACACTGCAATAGCTAAACCATGCAGCCGCAATTCAGTACATCAAATATTCAGACATGATCAATAGGTTCAGTTAGGGCTTTTTTTCTCTAAACATTAGGGAAAGATGGGAAGGAGTGTGTAAGTCACTTTGACATTTGAGTAACCATTACTGCCAGACAAAATGGCTGCAACATCTCAGAAACTGCTGACCTGATGAATTTTATTGTTTAGAGATTACAAATAAAATAATGATTTACAAAAACATAGGGTTAGTAGCAGCACTGTGGGTGGAAACACCTTGTTGGCCAGAGAGGTCAAAGGGGAACTGCCAGCCATGTTCAAGCTGACAGGAAGTCCACAAATGGCCATATAAATGCTGATAACAATGGTAGGCTACAGCAAAACACAACTATGTTGAGCTTCACTTCTATCAGCTAAAAACAGGAAAATAAGTATACAGCATGCATGGGATTACCAAAACGAGACAAATAAAGATGAATAAAATGTTTTCCAGTCTGACAAACGTAATTCTTGCTGTGACATTCCAGTAGTAGAATTGGAATTTGGTGGACACAATTTGAATCATGGATCCATTCAGTCTTGTATCAACAGTTCAGAAATGTGGTTGTGGTATAATTGTGTGGAAGATCTTCTCTTGGCACACCTTACGGCTCACCTCTCGGTTATTGTTACTTGAGAGCTGCCATGTAACCAAGACACTAGCCGCCCTGGCAAATGTCAGGTTCTTAGACCCAGAGGAACTTGTGAATAATACTGGTGACACTTGTAATTCTGCTCATTCTGACAGTTAAAGTGGTAGTAGAGTCATTTTTTGTAGGTGTACTTAAAGGTAATCCTATAATAAGGCTTACCTGTATACACTGTAAATATCTCCTAAACGTGCACCGTTTGGGAGATATTTTCCTGTGTAGAGCACCACCGCGTGCTCTCTGTAGGAACGGCATGCCTGTGCCATTCCATCAGAGCTTTGTGCTGTAAACAATGACATCCACGCGCATGCGTGAGAGTGACATCATCGCGGCTCGGCCATTCAAGCTGCCGGAGCCCGCGAACCCTGAAGAAGGACGGGTGAAGATGGAAGACCTGTCAGCAGTGACAGCGTGCCACTGGAGGGCTTCATTTTAAGGTAAGTTTCACATAATGTGCTATTTTGTGATGCATACTAGCACATTATGCCATTGCCTTGGAAGCATTTTTTTCTTTTTTTTATACAACTTCAATATCGGGCACTTTTACCCCCTTCCTGCCCAGGCCAATGTTCAGGTTTCAGCATTCTCACACTTTGAATGACAATTGCTTGGTCATGCAATACTGTACCCAAACTAAAATTTTATCATTTTGTTCACACAACTAGAGCTTTCTTTTGGTGGTATTTAATCACCGCTGGGGTTTTTATTTTTTGCTAAATTAACAAAAAAAGACTAAAGATTTTGAAAAAAACCCCCACGTTTTTCTTTGTTTCTGTTATAAAAGTTTACAAATAAATACTTGTTCTTCATAAATTTAGGAATGTAATAAGATTCATTCATCTTTCTAATTATTAGTGGGGTAAAATTGACATTTGTTTTTGCAATGACCAGGAAATTTGAAAGGAGCAGGATGGAAAACTTTTCTTCAATGTACGCATTACTAACAGTGTATGTAGTTTTCATTCAATAAAGCCTATTCTTTCCAAAATCGAATTTTGAAAAAAAACAAAATCTTCAAAGACTTTTGAACATTCGTGTAATTCCACTAGTATACACCAAGCTTTCGTCGTTTCATTCCTGGGCAAGTCCTGCAAACCAATCCCATTCTATGATAGCATATGATTGATTTGGTAACCCGAAGTATTATTGGGGGTCTATACAATTGTTGTTACAGATTTAATACTTATGAGGGAGTTCCTTAGACCAGTCTTACCACCTACAGCCAAAACCTGAAACTTTTTGTCAATAGAAATGCCTATGGTTTTTGCTCTAGCAATTTCCATCCTGAAACTCCTTTATAAAGTCTGTAATTGTCTATGAATATTTTCTAAGGTATATCATCTAATACCTAATAATAAAAATATTTTCAAATACCAACCCATGGATGACCTAAACCATATCTGTAACACCAAAAACATAAATGTTTGAGTTAAACATGTGAAATAGGTGACAGTGGAACATAAAAAGGTTATGCCTGAACTGCAACTTCTCCGTGCTACTTTTTATCCAGTTGATGCCCTAAGTATAGCCTGGATAATAATACTCTAAAAAGAATTGTCAAAGGAAGCTTCTGCTTTCGTTATAAGTACTTATAAAATGTTTTTGAAACAGAACTTGTCTGTGAAAAAATTAAATAAAATAAAGCAAGATTGTAACCATAGGCAAATGTCTGTTGACACAAATATTTTATAATGTTTTATTCTGTATTGGATTATTTTAACTAAATACCAGATAATAATAATATGCTATTATCTCTGTCTGTTTCCAAGCTAGACAAATGAACCAGAATTATTTTTTTTATTTAACTGATTTTGCTGCTAAAGATAATTGTACAAGTTGAAAATGAAAATTAACTATTATAAGCATCACAAATTGTTTTAATGGTACAAAAGATCATTTTTTTAGTTGTTTAAATGCATCCTTTTTTTCTAATAAGTTTGCTAGTTTATGTGTTTTATGAATGTTTATGTGTGTGTTTCTGGGAAGTGGTTAATAAAAATCATTCTTCCAAGCATGAGCTCATACGACAAGAAAATGAAAAAGACTTCCCAAATCATTTTAGAAAATAAACAAAGAGTGGAAATAGTTTTCCTAAGAGACACGAAGGTAAGAGGCGAGCATTTCAGTCCTCAGCTCTGCAATGTCAGATGGAATCAATATGTATACACAGGCAGTGCAATATTACAGCATCTCTTAAACAATTAATAAGCCATCAGGTCATTTCTCTTGGCTTTTATTTGAAAATGTTTCGGCATATCCTTAGCATGTCATTTTTTTTTTCAGTAAAAAATTCCCTAGCGCTTTACATTAAGAAGGTAAACAGAACCCACCATGAACAGGCAGATTGCCAAGAGAAGGAGACGTATAACAGTTGATAGTAGTGAAACCTGACTTCTCCAAATAGATGTGATTTTGGCATGTGCAAAATGAATTGTCTAAGCAATCAAGTGGTGAAATTACAATACATTATATTATATTACACATCTACACACAACATATACTATATATATATATATATATATATATATATATATATATATATATATATATATATATATATACTGTGTAAATATGTGCATGTGTGTGTACATGTTTTGGAAATATTGTGGTCTTCTATATATCCACATTAAGACCAGGCGTTTTATGACTTTTTTTTGTTTACATGGGAAATTAATTTTTTGCTAGAAAATTACTTAGAACCCCCAAACATTATATATTTTTTTTAACCACAGAGGCTCTAGAGAATAAAATGGTAAGTGTTACAATTGCAATGGTATTTGCACAGCAGTTTTTCAAATGCAGTTTTTTTTTACACTTTAATGAATTTTAATGCACAAAAAACACAATATAATACCCAAATGTTTTGTAAAATATAAAAGACAATATTACGCAGAGCAAGTAGATGCCAAACATGTCACACTTTAACCATTTGCCGCCCGCCCTATGGCCGAATGGCGGCCGGCAAATGTCATCAGCATTCCGGGTGGACGCCATATGGCGTCCTCCCCACACATGCGCAGGTTGCGCTCCTGCAGAGCCGCGCAGCGGCGCGATCTGTCACTGGCCATGTACCTCAGACACGGCCGATGACAGATCTGAGTATCGGCCCCCGTTGCCGGTACCATGTGACCTGCTGTGACCAATCACAGCAGGTCACATGACAGTTGTATACAATGGATGGCTTCATGCATGCCATCCATTGTATACTAGTGTCTAGCTGTGAATGGTCACAGCAGGTCACATGCACATGTCATGTGATTAGCTATGGCCAAATCACAGCTAAGCACAAAAAAAAAAAAAAAACCCTGAATGAATCGATGTCATTCAGGTAAATGCTTGCTTATAACAAAGTAATTCTGTGCTATCAGCAAATTGTGTAAAAAAAACTACTGATCACTTCCCCAAAGTAGTACAATGTTACTATGGTAACATTGTACTACTTTGGTCATAGTGAAATGTGAAAAAAAATCTTAAAAAAAGAAAAAAAATTTAATAAAAAATAATAATAAAAAAAAAATTTATATATATATTTTTTTCATACTGTCACCAGTCAGTGTCGCTGAACACCGCCATGCCAGTTATATAGCAAATTGTGTAAAAAAAAACTACTGATCACTTCCCCAAAGTAGTACAATGTTACTATGATAACATTGTACTACTTTGGTCATAGTGAAATATGAAA